ACTCAGTGGCACCCAGTTCACCTCCTTCCATTTTTGGAAATGCCCCCTTATATACACTTACTTTTATATATGACATGAATAACTAATCAGAAGCTCAGAATGTCCCCCTAGTGGTTTTCTTAGCCTTTCTAATGAACCTAGCACCATTTCTTTCTTTTAAACCAAGATTTCAATGAGGTAGGTTGTGTTTTTAGTCTGCTCAAAATTTAATATTTTTTAGACCAAAATACAGCTTAGTTACTAAAGTTTGATAACTTATAGTAGAATTCTATGGTATTGATGTATTGATTTTTTCGTTATTCAAATGTATATATAAAAACCTAAAAAAAATACTTTGTTTCATATTCTCCATGTGCAAAATTTTTAAAGGCTTAACAACCGACATCAAACAGCAATTGAGTACAAAGGTCGTAACTAGAAGAGATAATTGTTTGCTTTACTTCTTTATTTACTGTTCTCTGTTTTAGGAAAAATAACTTTAAGAGCTTATTTCAAAAATAGTAATAATCTATGTACATATATAATTTATAATAATTGAAGTGTGACTGTATTTTACAAAATACTAGTCAACTAAAACACAGTCAAGACAAGCTACTTTGCACAAACCAAATGTCACCTTTATGTTATTTGATACAGTAGCATTAGTGCACGTGAGCTGCATCGTTGTAACTTCTATATGGTTAGCCAGGCTTGGATGAAAGGTCAATATAATAAAAATAAATATATATAAATGTATAATGTTATGAAATTTAAGCTATTTCATCTAAACATTTATGTTTTTGTGTTATAATTTGTGCTCATTCTAGAATGAAAGAGACATAATTTATGTTTATTTTCTAATTTTTCATGGTGGTTGCGAGATTGGTCAAATTTCCCGAAATCATACAGAGTTTAATTACTCAAAATAACAAATAAAATATAAAGTTTTATCTCAAGAAATGTTTGATAATCATCTGGACATTATAAAGATTTCGCATGTGAAATTTAAAAATTTTCTGACACATAAAAGTTAAAATGAAAATTACTTTGCATGATAGATAGGCAAGATGTGAAAGAAAAAAAAAGCATGAGAGAAACATTGCTTTACAAACCTTAAGACTTAATAACAAAAATTAGATATTTTGAATATGAAAGCATTGTAATGTTTACTGATAAACTGCCAATTTCATTAATATTTGCTTACTAATTTAAAAGTTATAGCATGAAAACTATAACAAGCACAAAATGGTTACGAGGTCAGTCCCAAGGATAGAGCCTGGATTGAAAGAGTTAATAAGCCTGACAATTAATTGGTTAGCAAGGTCCATTAATCATTTTGCTCTACAGTTTGGAAAAGTTTACATTTCTATTATTTACTCTTAAATATGCAAATTAACACATCATACACAAAACTTGACCACTCAAAATACAACATAAAAACCAACAAAATATTGTGCATAACCCTTAAACACTACATATGCATAAGTTTATATGAAATATAAATAAAAAGGCTCTCATATGATATTAATGATCAAAAGGATATGTAAAACATTTTTGCTTACTGTTTTTGTATGATGGACATTCCAAACACTCACCAAACCAGACTCTACACAAGTAAGAAGGTTTCTAAAAAAAATTAGACAATGAAACACAATTAATAATCAATTCAGAATACAGATATCAAATGTAGAATTTGTTTTAGGAAGGTACATTTATTGAAAAATGTCAACATTAACTTACTATCATTTAATTAATATTTAGATGTTATATGCATGCACACAAGAACAAACTTACAAATATGATCTGTAAAATGTGCAGAACCAAGTCTCATCTACCATAACAAATGCTGTTGTTAAGCATTTATTAAACTGTGTTTTTATATGCATGGTAGGCCATAGTAAACCCCCAATAAAAGAACACTATACCACAAATAACACAACAATTTTTAATCATGATCAAGCTGTATTTGCATGCCCAAATTTAGTATCATTTTACAACTCACAAGCCATTTACAAAACTTAGAATAATAAAACAAAATTCTAGGGTCTTTTACAAACATAATCAAATAAATCATTTCCTAATTAACATATTAACACTTAATTACACATACTGTTGTGATACATTTGTGCTTGTACAAGAACAAAAACTATGTGAAGAAACAGTATTAGATAAATACATTTTATGTATATATTTTGATGCAAGTCTGCTTTTGCCTATCTTTATATTCTTTATTTCATACTACTCAGGTGAAAATTTTCATAGATCATTCAATATTAACAGACTAAAATGTCACATGTATTTTATATTTCTTATGAAATATAATTACATGAAATGTTTTACCCTTCTTGCATTATATTGTATATTACTACATACCAAAGTGTATGCATACAATTTATTCAAGGGATGATCAACACTTCACTTTTCTAGACTGCTAAATAAGGTACTAATGAAATGTATAAATTTACCTTAATTGAAAAAAGCTATCTGATTTTTCTTTCCAAAAATTTAAACAATTAAAGTACTAAAACAAATATACTAACAGAATGGAAACTCTTGTAATAGACAGAATAATTATGCTAAAATATAACAAAGTAATAAAAAATATCTCATAAATATTGATTAGTTAAAAGTATATCAAACAAAATTAAAATTGAAATAAAAAATAATATCTATGAGGTATTGAATCCTTTTCAATCATCATACAGTAACCTAAATTAAGACATCACTGATTCTCTTTTCAATATCATCTTTGGAGAAAAAAAAAGAAGTCTTTAGTATATATATATATATATACATAACCAAGGAACATTTAGTGCTCTGTATAATAGCAAGTAATGAATTAGGCAATATGTCATAACATTATTCACATACCTAAATTAACTTAGGTTACTATATAGTGAAATAAAAAAAACTCAAAACCCCATAGATATTTATCAAATGTTTGTTTTCATGTACTTGAAAGAGGACTTTTATATTTTATCATTGTGCATGTATGATGAAAAATCTTCCAGAAACTTTAAGTGAAATTACTCCAGTTACTGAATTGAAATAATTTTGAAATATTTATTGTATTTTTGTTACTCTAATTATGATATCACCCTCTACAGGTGTACATCATAAAGGTGATTGGCATTCTTAAGAGTACCGTCTTATTTCACAGATCTACAACTATATAGTTGTGTAGTGCATGCAATAACATAACTGACCTTTATATATTGACATTTTTGAAGTTTAATCATTTCTATTTATAACTGGAATTCATATATCATACTTACAAATTCCCTTATAATAGCACTGTTCTTTAGTAGATACTAGTTTGTACGGTCTTTAGAGTTGTCTTTTACTTACCTCATACTGAACTATACTTAAGCACTATTTTATTTCATAGAAAACATGATTAAATGCAAAATCACATAGATATTCACCCTTCACACTTAGCAAGGCCTCTTGGAGGACCGCTTCCTCCAGAAATATCTACTTCATCGGTGAAGCAGAGTCTGTCAACACTGAATGTTTTCACTAACTGTCTTCTTAAGCCTAAACACACCTATAAAAATAACATTTCAGTAAATAACGTATTACTATACAACCTAAAGTGTTTAAAATCTAGTGCACTTTAAAACTGGCAATTGTGACATAAACTACTAGTATAATAATATTAAAATCAGTGGTTAGCAATACTTTCACCTACAAACTCAAATATTTGATACAATACAAAGAAAAACTGGCTTGCTAAAAGTTGGCTAACCATTGTTTATTGGGAATTAAAAAATGAACACTAGAGATGTGGAATTCATATCACCTAATACCCAGAACAAAGCTCAAACCCAAACTATATATATATATATATATATAT